TTCTGAAGAACATTACATGGGCAATGTCTTTTAATGGACACATTCTGCATTTTGATCTGGGAAGGGAACAGAATGTCCCTGGTAAAAATCTCTTCAAATAACAGCAAAATTTACCTGAATCAAATTTTTAGGACAGCTTCTTCACTTTGAAAATGTTTACAGTTCAGATGTGGATCCTTATCAGAAGCTGAATTTTGCAAATTGTTCCTTCAGTTCTAACATTTTATTCAAACAATGAAACTAACGATTCTGAAATTATTTGTATTTTAAAGGTTTTGAATACCACGGCAGTCCTGTTACCTCAAACTTTTTGTCATATTAGCTGCTATATTCCTCCTTTGACTTTCTTGCCCCCCCTTTTTTTTTTTTAAATCCAGGCTGCATTAACATCAGCTCTGTCCAAAAAGAAAGGTATGGCACATAATTTCAGATGTTTCTAAACAATCTTTTAAACTGTAACAGAAGAAATATTTTACTTCAAGGCAATGTACAATGTCAATGCATAATATGGGACAGCAAGTAGTGGTCAATAAGGAACTGAGCACACCTACTATATCAACAATAATGTCATAGAGATCAAAACCCAAAATACTATATTACAAAAATCCTGATCTCCATAATAACCTGGGGGAGTTGGTCTTTCCTTGACAGGTAAAATCCACAGATAAAATCCCCAACTAAAAACCATTCACATATATACTTATTGAGAAGCAAATGATTCTCTCTTATCAATTTGGAAATACTACCCTATAAAAATGAAGCTCACGAGTCTCAATCCTGACTCTGCAGTCATGGAAATGAGTAAGTAGGAATGACAGGGGGTGGCACAAAACGCTGCTGGAGGGAAAAATTTTGTAAGTTCTCTAGAAAAAAAAATAAGAAAAAAAAAATGGCCTATTAAGAGCTAGTGAGAGGCTTAGGAGGTTCAAATAGTCCCACCAGAACCGGATTGTTATCCCTAACAACATGCAGAGTCATTCATTCTATATTGACTAAAGAAGAGAGCTTTCTACCGAATTTCTAACAGGACTTACTACATTCCCTTTGAGTTTTTCCCTCCAAGTACTGACCTTCTCCAATACTCTCCTGCCCATAAAGTCTAATGTGATCACAGTCTGAATTGATTTGGTTGAAAAGAATTATGACAAAGACCTTACATCACAGTTACCCTTGAAGAACATCTTGCACATGTACTTCTAACTCTCACCACTAACAAAATGAAGCTCTCACTTCCACTCTAGTCTTAGGAAGTCCAAATTGCAGAAAATCATATTACAAGGTTCCATTGTCTAAACAAAACAAAATGATTTTTTGTCCAAAAGTATGAAGTAGAGCTTTATTTGATAAAAAAAAAAATAATCTGATAGCACAAGAGCAAATATATCTCCTTCTGGATAATTCTTCCTACCTATTAAGTGACAGCAAGCCCTATATATCTTTTACACCTATCCATATCTGTTGGAAGGTAAAAATAATGGTGCCTTTAGGAATTCTACCTTACCTAGTTTGTGAAAGATGACGTGAGGCATTTCTGTTCTGCACATTTTATTTTTACACTGCTTAACACTGCTGTTATTCCTGAGCCTGATTTATGGGTACCCTGGGGTACTTCTAACCCCTTTTGATGTTATTTCTACTGGAAACAGTTGACAAAAGCAGATCTCCCCTTGAGGATTGCACAGTTTTAGTATTTGTTTCAACTTTCAGCCATTTGCTCAACCTATTAAGAGCTTCTTCAAAGACATAAAATAGCAACCCATCACCTTGAACGCTACAGAAAAAAATACATGCATAAAGGCTGCCAATTCATGCTAACTCTGCTGTAGATAAGCAGAATACATTGGAAGGCATTACACTACATGGAATACCGCCTGTGGATTTAGCATAACCCTACAAGGGTATTTGGCTCTGAAGTATTTCACTCTGTTGGTCAGAGCTGCATGAAAATATTAATATAAATCCAAGGCAAACAGAAAGTGTTCCTACTGTAAACTTAAGAATAAAAATCAGCGATAGGCTTAAACATTACTTCCATTTTGTATTTTTTTTTTTATCTACCATAGAGCAGTCTACTGCTTCAAATGCAATTTTTATGAGCTCTGCAAAACTTGCTAAAACCATACATATGCCATGTCAAGACTCTTAGAGCTTAACTGCTCTGCCGGCGGTAGACTAAGTGTCCATGATAAATGGACAGAAACAACGAGAAAAATGGTATATCTTGTTGCAAATAATACTTTAAAAATACATAAATAATACCTCGTTGTCATATTTTCCTGTTTAAATTTGTTCAGCAAGAAGAGAGAAAAATGTATTTTTGAAGAACAGACACAGGTTTTTTGACTGTAGTGAAGGTAATACAAAGTAATAGTTAATGTACCAAATACAGTTATTCCTCTTATCCACCTGAATGCTACAGAATGATGGAAGTATGTTTCACAAAATACTACAAACTGCAGAGCGCTCTAGTTGCTACTTTCCGACTGTATTGGAGTATTAGAAAATAATGGTCAGCACAGATACATATAATCACCTAAATGTTTAACTAAAGTTAAAAAGGTTATGGGCATTTCTGTAATTCTCTTTGGTATATACTTTCATATAAGGAAAATGCATGACTCTGCAACCTGCACCAATGGGCAGTCAAGGTACAGTAACTTCAGGCTACTTAACCATGAAAGAGAGGAGCAACTGACATAATATTGCCTACTTCCTGCTGATTTCATCTTCTGCAATCCCACAGGCCAGTGCAAAAGACCTGCTCATGGGTGGGAGGTGGCTGCTGGAGTACTCTCCCACTCACTCTTGGGATAACTGATTTCACTGCCTCCTGCCAAACAATTAATTCCCTGGCCTACAACATGTACTGGGTCAGAAGAGTGTTCTCCAGACTTTTTGGAGATTGAAGGGGGTGCAATTGGTCTGTTTTTATAATATCTGCCATCTAATCCTCTTCTTATGCCATAGGCTTCAGAGATCTTGCTATGATCAAATAAAATCTCTCAGCCATTCAGAAAACTAAACCAAACTTTCATTATCTGAAAAGTATCTCTGTGCTCCATAACAGAAGACAAATCTATTTATGAACAACTGAATCTGCTACATCAAATAAAGAGAAGACTAAAAGACTTGTTATGTGCATCAGTGACTTCAAAGAACCTGTTGTCCCCATCATAGCTAGATATCACAGATAACTGATGCTTGTTAGTGCCTTGTCAGATGCTAAAGCACCCAAATCCTACCCTGTTTCTTAGAGCACTCAGTAAGAACTCCTACAAACTTTTAGAAATAAAATACTTTAACATCACCTAATGGCATTTCAGAAGGGGTTCTGTAAGCTATAAAGAACCTGAACAGCATGAGGCCAACAGGAAGATGTGTCTTTCTTCCCTGATTAAGTGTATAAATCCAATAAATTTATTCATAAATAAATATTCCCAGATTATGTACTGAGCTAAAAGTCTACTGAAACTTAGGCCTCCCATAATTATTTGGCACCTTAATATAAATTAATAAGAAGTTATATGCTTTTGGGATATGTCAATAAATAGCCCCACTAAACTTCACTAGTAAAGTTTAAGAAGCCAATAGTTAGTCCTGGGCAAAAGTCAGCTAAGAAAATCCAGAAAATTAAGTCTTACCTCTTTCTTTCCCTTGGGATTTTACCACAAAACAGAGAAAAAATTACCACTTCCTGAATATGAGCGAGTAGGTCTGTACTGGATACACCAATTCAGAAAAATGACAATATATCCATTTTAAATTAGATTGAAATAATTATAACCAGTTCTTAAACCCTAGTAATATTTATATTTAAATAATTATATTTAAGGGCCATATTTATGGCCCTTGCTCTTCCCTCTTGTTCTTGGGAAAAGGAGAAGGCTAGTCTTAGAATGGAAACTTCATATCATCCTTAATTACAGAGAGATTAATACTGTTGCATACCTACAATTGGAGACAAGCTATGTAAGTAATTCAGCATGTATGCCTGCAAGGTAGTCTCTGAAAGAGACACACGGCAATGTGGGAAACGATGGACACCATACTCTTCAGCACATGATTATATTTTAATTTCTAACAAAGACTCATTTTCTTCAGCCAAATGCTGTCAGCGACCAATCAGTTGCTATCAACGCAGTAGCAGGCAAGTACAACATGATGTAATTATCCTAGGTCTGGGACAGAATTGGAACAACCACCTATTGTTTTCAGTAGGAAGTTTACTTCCAAGAATCAAGCTTTTCTTCCCCCAAAAGATGTCTCCTAACAGTTTCATTCATACTTCCTGCTATCCTATAAGATTTTGCTAAATTCTTTCTTCTATTGCAAAACGCAGACCAATCAATAGTAATATTTACAGCATATAACATTGTGTTATTAGTTTTGAGGTTCCACCTCAAAATATCTCCTAATCAGTAATAAATGTATCTCAGGTAATTCTTAACAACAATGGTATCATTCTTTCTTGGGCAATTGGTTTTTAATCCATGCATTTGCAAGCAGTGGTGTTCTTGAATGTATGTGCCCAAATACCATGCAGTAAAATGGATTACTGTATTTAAAAATGCAATAAACAAGAACACGAGAACAGATGCATCCTAAGAAATTTCACTTTGATTTATAAAACAAACACCAAAAAGTTCCTTTCTGCAGGAACAGTCTGTCCCCCTCAAAGTTGTACTTTCATTCACTGGCTCTTAAATACGGATTAGCAGCAAAGATCTCCACACACCACGATCTTGAGCACTTGAGGCTGTAGTTAGAACTCAAGCAGTTAGATTTCCACCTGTAATTCAACTAAGGTTCAAAAATATAAATTGCTATCATACCAGCTAAACAAACACATTTGAAAGTGTGGCCCATTTTCTACCGTGCTACCAGGGAAAAGAAGTGTTTTAAAAAGAAAACCAGCAGCAGCAAAAGAAAAGCTCTTTGAAAGTGATAAGTACTCTGAAGCACTGAGACTGTGCATCTCTGACACTTTTTGTTGTACTTACCTGGTATCTGTGCATGTTATACACGTGATAGAGCGACTGTTTGCTGTAACGAGGTTCAAAGCCACAGATGTTTCACTGTCAGTGGTTGGGTGTGCTCCACATTTAAAGTAAAACTCCTGAAATATTGAAGGAGAGATAAAGAGAAGATTACATACCTGCCGCTCATGTCCTCTCTTTATCTTAGGTAACTGACATTTGAGACAACAGACAAATCACCACTGCCAGCAGAAAAGGAGGACAATCATTAGGAAAGGTTTACGAGGAATCCCTTGCAAAAATACCAGTATAGGTGTGTATTTTATTCAGTGACTTCCCTAGCAAAGAAGATATCTACTTGTGTACTAATTTGATACCAGTCTGACACATTCTGGGATTTTCTGGACTTACAGAAAGAAAATTACTTCATCTAAGTATAGTCATCAAAGGCAGAATAGTAACTGTCACTATACATTAATATTTCCACTTTTGTTGTTGTTGTTGTTATTACAGATATTACCATTTTCTGAACTCTAACCCACAGAATTTTAGTTCTAAATTGGTAAAGTCTGGCCTTGCTGTTATGATGTTGGAAATCTATACTATACAGTTTTACCACCATATTAAAGAGAAGCTCTAGCTCTCATGGGACATGTAATACATTTGCAATTATATCTTATTTTGTGTTTGAATTAAGTTGCTTTAGTCCATACAGCTCTATATAGCCTCTTAGACTCTTTCATTAGCATAACACTTTTTTCACAACTGTGTGCTTTGTTCTCTTTTCCACTGCACCCCAGGGAAGGCCATACTAATCATGCTGTGCTTTGATAAGGTTTTGTTATAAGAGATTGTTTTAAATGTCTGAATCGCTCTATATATATGCAAATAAAAGCAGTCTGAAGACATATGCTTTGCAATAAGAGACACAGGTGACAGTTTGCAGTTTCTTTGTTCCCATGAGACCTTTTTGCGGTATCAAATTGTGGACGTTTGTAATGAAAATATTAAGACTCTTATAGATGAAGTGTGAATTGGAAAGAGAGAGTGTAAATGAATCAGAAGAAATGACAAGAAGGTAGCACAAAAGAATGACAGGTGCTGATGGCATATTAAGATGGGATATTAAGATCACAGATGACTCTCAAGACACCCAGAGAGAAAAAAGAAGAAAAAAAGAAAAAACTGCAGCTAGAGAAAAAAACCTCACAGAGTCAGTGAATAAAAATCAGCGGTGTTTCCTAATCAGTCATGGAGGTGGAACAGGAGAAAAAAAAAAAAAAGTATAGTCACACTTCTTTAGAGTGCAGAAGTTACATCTGAATCCAGCCACATCCAAAACCCACTACCAATTTCCTACCTAGACATATATTTTAGTGTTTGCTAGTATATATGAATACAAGACAATACATGTGGCTGAATGAAATCAGTTTTAATACAAAATGACCTTCCCCCTGTACAGCCTGGCACTGAGATTTACTACAATCAGTCCAGAAAAAGCTCTTTCTCACTGCCTCAAGCCTCGCAGTAAGGCGTTCTTCATCTGTAAAACAGCTGCCAATTACTGTGTTTTCTCAGTGGTGATCATTCAGATATGGTGTGTATTTCTACATGAGACACATGTCCTGTGCAGTAATACTTCTAAGGTGGAATCTGATGACTAGGATATGAGGAGTATTAATACAACCTTCCTCCTAGGTTAGTCGATCCTGCTTCTCAGACATGCACTGATCCATGCAGTGCATTCAACACAAATGAAATATTCAAACTCCACTGTTTAAAACTCCACTGTTCAAACTCCACGAGTCCTTAACTAGGACTCCTTGTCTGAAGCATGTGCTAGTAGCAGTTTATTGAGAGAACTAAGAGGTAAGAATATATTTTCAAGGCAAGCCTATTTTTCAAGTGAAGTAATTTTTCACAGAACTTTTGAAGTAATCACCTGTACGTATTTACATAGAGTTAACTTTTTAAAATAACTAAATCATCTTTCTGTCCTGTTCCATAACATCAGGAAGTAGTCCCAAGCAAGAAAATATGCTTAAAGTCATCCTTAGACAATACTTTATACTTTCCATCCTTTTTTCTCTTGTACAAGACCCAGTTATATCAGCTTAGCTTGAAGCATTTCAGTAATTGAGAATGAGTCAATGGAACTACACATTCGTCTGGAATGAAACTTTAGGCAATCTGTAATTTTAATTTATTTTCAACCTTTAAAAATGTATCCATTGATCTTTGTATTATTTGCTAATGGGTATTGCAGCTTGGGTTTTTTTTGCCCTTTAATTTGATTTTACTTTTGTTTGAATTAAATGGTAAGAAGGATTTATTTCAACAGGACGAGTCTTGAAAATATCTCCTTGCTTCAGTACATCTTCTGCATACAACTAAGACAATATTGAGAACTCACTATTCCAGAACAGATAAACTATGGACAAGGAAATGTACAAAAGAAAAAGAATTTTTTTATAACATTACTTTCCCACTATAGTAAAACTTTCTTTGGGTCACAAGCAAAAAGAAAGAGAGTAGTAAAGGAAGTAAGCTCTACAACACTTGGAAAAGCTTTAGACTTAATTTATATTTTTTTTTCTACAGAGTGTCTGTTTGATGATTCTAATTGCTTTTGGTAATACCTCACAATGGCTACAAGCTTCTCGTCATGAAAGCTGTTTAATGAAGATGGAAGGGAAATAAAGTGATACAATTCTTATTCCATACTCAGAGATGCATTGCTTATTGCAAGTTGGTGGGAGGGGAAGAAAATAAGAAAGTCAACAGTCTTCATTGGGCTACAGTGAAGTGCTACATTGCCAAAATACTTTCTCTATACCTCTGTTTATCAGCCCCAAAACTGCTTTAAGAAAATTCTTCCACTAATCGCATTGACGATGTGCTTTGCTGTTGCTGAATAGAGAAAATTATGGAATGGGAAAATACTATTTGAAATAACAAAAGAAAACATTACTGCTCTCCAAAAACATTCATTGAAAGACTCCCTGCTTGAGTAAACAGCAATTAAAGAAACAGCAAATCTTAATATTAAATCCAAACAGAACAAAGAGATCATTAAAATTACAGAGAAAAAAAAAACCTCAAGTTTACATGTCAAGTATTTGTTCAGAAGAAATCTTCAAGATTAAAGAATTTTAGAAGTCATTTATAACAAATATGTTGAGTCTATCAGTACAGTAAAACTAACCCATTTATAAAATGTTTGTCCTTGCAAAAACAAAAGGTATCAACCCACACAATGTATAATTCTATAAAATCAACACAACACTCTACTTCTGCAGGCCTGAGACATCACTGCTATGATGGGAGTTCAGAATACAGGGAAAAATTAGAATCTGAAAAGCACAGTATGCTGAGTGAGTTTTGGCATAGTGTGGACTGAATTTCCACTTTTTTTTTTAATCATAGTAGTACACATTCCGGTTTTTAAAAAGTCATGAACTCAATTAGGTTTCCAGTTGCAAATAAAAATTTACATGGCCTGGTTTTACACATTGTGTAAATAAACAATCCACAAGTATTTATTTGTTATATAGGACACATTTACAAGATTACATTTTGGACAAACCGAAACTTCAGTTTTGCTAAAGATGTCTTCACTGATGATGGTGCATTTTCCCAGTAAGATCCTTTCTGCTGTTTACCAGTTCCCAATGGCCCCAAGAAGCCAGTTCTCTACAGAACTCTACAGAATAACATGAAAGAGATGGGCAAAAATTTGTGCAGTCTACATAGCTATCCGACCACTTCTAAAATACCTAAAAATAGCAGAAATCACATTATTCCTCCTTTCTGCACCACTGTTCTCACTTGGTACAAAGGTTTCTGTTTAATAATTTTTTTTGGTTAAGTATTTCTGTTCAGCAATGAGAAAGTCAGTCAAGAAATTAATGCAAAAACCGAGACAAAATTTAGTGCTTTTCTTAGTCTTGAAAGTCAGTAGTTTTATGGTCACCTTCTACAGCAGTGAATATCTTTAGATCATTTTCTTGCCTAAAGGCATAGGTCCCATGAAATTGCGAACATTCTATTTAACACTACAAATGTCTTCCTTTTGGCAGTGCATCTGATAGATTGTTATTCAGAGAAGGGAGCAGGCATTGCTCTAACATACTTTGTCATATTCTTCACTCCTGTTATCGCTTTTGTGTCATGCAACATCATATAAAGTGCAAGGTGGAAGAAAAGGTCCAAAGATACATGGTCAGCGTTAGCTACTTTTTATGAAACTCATGAAGAAAATGCTCAAATTTATTATTTTTTTTTAAATTTGTTTTATATTTTATGAAAAAAGAAAAAGAGCACCTCTCCCTAAACTTTGTCTTTTCAAACTTTGTCTTTGCGTACTCCTTATCGCTGAAGAAATGCAAATATATAGAACATACACACACGCAAATACAGGTTCCTAAGCCTGCTTCTCTATTCACTGCTGTGTAAATTGGCTAAAAATCCTAAGGAAGCACAGCCTTTTGAATTTCTTATTCCCTTTTCTTAATAAGCTACAGGAAAAGGTGGGTATTTTTCCCCTGAATTACCCACAGATGTGTTTATTTAGGACTGACAGGCAAAACCATTTACTAATGTGTTACAACCACTGAAGGTGTAGTTTTCATTTTTCAAATTATCAGCATTCTTAAATGTCCTTTCATCTGTATCACCATAATTATTCCTCTGAATGAGAGAAAACTTCAACTCCACTGTAGCATACTCCTGTGATAATGCTTTATTTCCTTTTCCAACTAAAAAAATTAGTAGATATGCAGCAGGTCTAAGGACAGATTGAAAGAAACTCACTTCAGAACAGCTGTGGAATCAAATACTTCTTTTAGGATATTCTGGGAAAGACTGGGTTCAACTCTGAGCAGAGACACTTTAAGGTTCCCACATCCCAGAAGAACTGCAAACAGTGGCTTTCCAGGACTAAGGAATATCTCTGGTGAAAAAAAGTATCCGTAAAACATCACAGTTCACATGTGGAAGAGGCAGAGCTTTTGAAGTTAAATAAGTAAAAAGTGCTAGAAAAGCTGTTTGAATTACACTGGCTAACTAATACGAGGAAGGCTGTACTGCCCAAGAAAAACTCTTGAAGGTTATGGCAATCAAGTCTTAAATGATTCTGTGA